CTGCTGTCAATCAAACACCAGGACACGCCCCTCCAGCTGCTGTCAATCAAACACCAGGACACGCCCCTCCAGTTACTGTCAATCAAACATCAGGACACGCCCCTCCAGCTGCCATTTCAGAAATTTTTTTTGGACCTTTTTTCTACCATTTAATCATAAAATCAATAAATAAAATGTTCTTAGGCTGTAAAAAATGAAGATTTCAGTTACATTTATTGTTTTAATCTTTAAATTATTTCCTTCTTGGTCAGATTTGGGGAAATTGAGGGTTGTGAGGTTTTGACTGCACACGTCAAACAGCCAATTTCAACTTGCTATGAATCCAGCTGTCAGAACATCTGGACGACCTCTGCAGCTCAGTCAAAGACGAGACTGGACAGATGTCTCACTCTGATCGAAAAACTCTGAGTCCCGGCTGTCCGTCAGCTGCTCACCTGGACATGACCTCCTCCTCCATCTCTGGAGTGCAGCAGATCTTCATTTTCAGCCAGAGAGGCTGAGCTGAAATCTAATTCGGCGCTCAGTTCATCTACAAAGCACCAATTGGAGGCGAGCGGGAGAGAAGCTGAGCTGCTGCTGACTTGCGCTAAAACCCATCGATCTGCTCATTTTCTGACCTTTTTTCTTTTCTTAGCCGCGGTTTTATTTATTTCATTTTTTGGAGGGAAGCGAGCTCACCGGGCTGAGCTGAAACCGTATGAAGCGCTTCATACAAATGACTGGAATCACACTTTTGCCCTTTTACTCAAGTTCAAAACAAAGCTTTTGTGTTTCTGGAGTTGCAGTAAAAGGTCGTGGTGTGATGGAGGTGCGGGTCTGTAATGGGTGGAGGTGATGGAGGAATCCTCAGCAATGAGTGGGCGAGACAAAGATGGAGGATTTATCCATCGATCGTCTCACCCTCCGCTGGGTGAGATCAGATCGAAGGCCTGCGGTGATGAGTTTTAATGAACGCTGTCAGCGTGGATGCGGCGCCTGTTTGACCTTCTCGTCTCAGCTTTGTGGGAACTTTTTGCGGATGATATTAAATTTACAGTTTATCAGCAGAAAACGGGATTATGTGCGCACTCAGTGGGATTTAACTCCCACTAACTGCTGTTCTGTTTTCAGATGAAGCTAAAAGTCGATGTAACGCTTTTAGCTTCAGCTGGCAGGTTCAGGCACACTGTGAAAACAAAGAATCATAATTCTACAGATTTCGTTGGTGTTTTTAAAGTACATGAAAATCTAATTAATATCACAAAAAAATACTGTGAATCCCCATGCCGGACATTTAGGTTTTTATATATTTTTAAAAGAGAAAATTAAAATGTTTTAACATAAAAAAAATAAACAGTATAAACAGTTAAAGTGTATCATAATGTCACAAATTCAAGTTTCATACTGAATAGATTTGTTGATTACATTTAGGACTATAGGACCAGCATGTCTCAGAGAATGTGGCTTCGAAGACAAAAAGAGTCGTTAAAACATGAACAGAAAATCAACAACTATGCTATAAAGGAAGAACGATCAACACTAAAGTGAAAACAACATTGTCTGATACTAAAACAGTCCAAACCTTTGGTGATGCATAGTTCTTTCCTGAATGTTTGTGACTATCAAACACCAACGCCACCATCTCTCAGGTTGCTGTTCCACTCCTGTCTAAAGAAACAAAGAGCAATGACAACAAACTCATGGCTCTGTGTTTTTTTTTTTTTTTCCTTCTCCGGTCTACCTTCTCAGGTTACCTAAATATACTTTTAAAATTAGACACAATTAGTGACAACAGAGGAAAATTTATTTATAAAATGATTCTGAACATGCACAAAATCTGTAAATCTGCAGAGAGCAAGAGAGAGATGAGTGATGGAGGCCACCGAGACTCCTATGAGTCCTCTGAAGGACTTACAAGCTTCAGCAGCTGAGATGGAAGACACTGTTCATACATCTGCACACACACACTTTGAAGCATGGTGGTGGCAGCATCATGATGTGTGGATGTTTCTCAGCAGTAGGCCCTGGAAGGATTTTAAAGGCACGGCGTAAAATCAAAGTATAGGGACGTTATTTTTAGTGTTGTTTGGTGCCCCAGCTGTTTTTTTTTTACAGTGCATTTCCACCTCAACTCCACACAGATGTTGAATGTTACTCTCTAGTCTTTGCTCACACTTAAATCTTTTGCTGTCAATCCGAAACAGCGGTGCAACATCTCATTTACTAACACTGTAAGAGGATTCAAACCAATGCAGTTCATCGAAACAGATAAATCCTTGAAGCAGAAAAGCTGAAAGTTCAGTCTGACCCACAGGGAGAGACCGTGACATCAAACAGCAGAATATTCAGACGGGATGAGCGTCCACACACACACAGAGGAACAGAATCAGTGCGATTCATTTGTGTTTAATCTGCTAAATGTGGGTTTGATGTCCACGAGCGTCCTCACCTGTGGGAGCTGATCTGAAAACTTTTCAGTTCGAAGCGAAAACAACAAAGCAGCTGGAATACCAAAGGCCACCGTGTCTCGCCAGAGGAACGAAATATCAAAACAGAACGGACATGTAGGATCAGACATTAAACACCGGACATTTCTCTGCTGTGTGATCGGAATATATTTAAAACTTTATGGTTAATTTAGTCACTATAATAAAGACTAGCACCATAACTTTTCAATAGAAGTCAACTTTTATGGCGTAAGGTCATAAAATACTCATCTCCTAATGCTGACATACGTCAAGTATTACACCTCCACATCAGACCGGGATCATCCTCTGGGGGGCTTAAATGTGGTCATTCTCTGATGTTGGCTATGTTCACATTACACATAACCACATTAGTCCTGATTAGCTTTAGAGATGTTGATATGTGAACACTGTGACGTCTTTGTTGTGCTACATGAAAATTCAGGATTAGAGTCACTGAGATTCGTCCTCAAGGGAAAATAAACATCTCTAGATTTTACAAGTGTCACAACAGGTTTATAAATGTGACTGAGGCTGATTTTATCTTCATTTTTTGTTTTTTTTACAGGCTACAATTCCAACTTTACCTAGAAAGACTGAACTAGACCAACCTAACCTGACTAACCTAACCAGGCTAATTTGACTAACCGGTCTAACCTAACCTCCTGCTGTGTTCTTGTCCTCAGTGGGAGAACGAGCAGCTGCACAGTCTGGAGGAAAGAGGTCGTCTTCTTCTCTCGCTGCAGTTTCTGCCTCCTCTCAGCTCGGAGGACGAAGACGTTGAAGCAGGAAGTGAAGGCCGTCGCAGTGGCGGTCTTTGTGTCGGTGTGAAGCGCTGCGCCCACCTGGCAGCCATGGACGTCAACGGGTTCTCCGACCCGTACGTCAAAATGTAAGAGCTCAGACACACTGTCATAATAAACTGTTCAGTTCAGTCCTGCACTGACCTCCATTCATCCATCATCTATACACCGCTTAATCCTCACTAGGGTCATGGGGGGCTGGAGTCTATCCCAGGGTGAAGGCAGAGGACACCCTGGACAGGTCACCAGTCTATCACAGGGCTACACTTAGAGACAGACAACCAAGCACACTCACATTCACACCTACGGACAATTTAGAATCACCAATTAACCTCAACATGTTTTTGGACTGTGGGAGGAAGCCGGAGAACCTGGAGAGAACCCACGCTGCACGGGGAGAACATGCAAACTCCACACAGAAAGATCCCGGGTGTCCTCACCGGGATGCAAACTGGCGACCTTCTAGCTGTGAGGCGACAGTGCTTTCCACCTCTCCACCTTGCAGCCCACTAACCTAACCTGACCAGCCAAACCAGACCACCCTAACTTGACTTATTAGTCATGGTAACGAAATTGATCAGTTTTGTTGTAAATCGCAATAACAATGACATTTCGCTTTTTTTTTTATAAACTAATGTGATTAACCTAACTGTGTTACAGTAACCAGACTAACAATACATAAACAAACTAGCCTAACCAGACTAAACTAACCTGACTAACTTAGCCTGTCTAACCTAACCAGGCTAATCTAACTTGACTAACCTGACCTGACCTGACCAACCTCATCTGATGAGCCTAACCTGACTAACTTAACCCGACTAACCTAACTTTACTTACCTAACCCAATCTAAGCTCAACTAACATAATCTAACCTGACTAAACTATCCTGACTAACCTAACTTTAGCTTTGTGCTGAGATCTGAGGAATGAAAGCACAAAGCAGGTTCAACATATCCAGGATATATTTTCATTATCTGCCTTCACTGAACCAAACAGTCACAGTCTGGACAAGTTGGTTATCAACTCATTAAATCAACCAGAGTTTCTGAACTGGGATATGAGCGTGTTCACATTAAAGAGGCACTTAGCAACAGATGACCAATCAAAAACATGGACAGGTTTATATTTCTGTATGTTTAAACGGCTTCATGTTTGTTTCTTATTCAAAATGTTACTAAATTATCAATATAAAAGCACAACATTGTATAAAGAAATGACAGATGTCGTCCCTTTATGCTGCTCACAAAAAAGACAAATTAGAAAAGAATTGAGTAACAAAAATAAAACAGTTTTCATGGCAATGAGTTCAATAATCTCACATTCACTGTGATATTGTCATTGTGTAAGACAGCTTTAGTGTTCCAGCTGCTAGTAGGTGTGAAACTGTTTTTGAACAAAGTGAAGAACAAAAATAAAAACATCCTTGAACATCAAACCTGCTGTGGAGGTTCAGCATCAGTTACCATGGTGATGTACCTGGGAAGAAGTGAACCACCGTCGTAGGACCGAAAACCCAAAGTTAAACACAAACAAACACAAACAAACTAAAACGAGAGTTGCACAACTTCAACATTCACTTTCTGGTTCCTTGTTTTTGTTGTATAGAACTAAACTTTAAAAGTTAAAAAATAAGAATAAAATGAAAAATGCCAGAAAAAATAAAACATAAAATGTTTACAGATAAACACTGGAAACATTTTATTTTTTTTTTTTTTCTGACAAGTAAATTGTAAACAGTTTCCCGATTTCATGTATTTCTGTGTATCTACAAAGATATTGTTTTATTGTTAATTTTGCTCCTTTCCAGTTTACCTGAAATTTGAAACACATTAACTGAACAGTGAAGAATGCTTTAGTGAAAAATTCAATGAAATAGAAATGTATTTATTAGATTTTGGGTACAAGCTCAAAACAGACAAGCTCAGAGATGAGCTAACCCTGAAGAAAAAAAAGCTGAATGTATGTAATAAACCATCAACATGTAATCTCATGTGTTCAGATGTGACCTTTATAACTGTAACTGTTCACAATAACTCGTCGAACCTCCTGCAGACCTCACTGAGGACTGAATCTCACATTTCCACCACACCGAGACAATTAAAAGCTGGAGTTCTGCCATCTTATTAGCCGTTCTAATCAATGATGCCGTTTTTTGTTGAGGAAAAAAACCCATCTGTCTGCAGGCAGGGAGGATAATGAAATAAAAAAACAGAAGACAGCGTCTCGTCCGGAGGAAACACCAGGGGCCGCAGTTGGGGATTTAAGGCTTCTCCTTGCTTTTGTTTCCTCCGGCTCTCGAGGGACACTTGCTTTGAAGAGGACGACAGGTTTTATATTAATGCTGCACGCTGTCAGAATACAAACTGAGCCGGAGCCAGAACAAGGAGGCGACTGACAGCTGAGAGGTCGAACAGAGATTCAACGGTTTTAGAAGCGACTGCCGCCTCCAGAATATCAGCAGGCTGTGTCACTGCAGCACTTCAGCCAATGTATCGGCTTAAAATAGGTCGATACTCCTTTTAACTCTTTTGCACTTCTCTGCATTGTTTTCCCTGCTCCGTGTCAGACATACATACCAATACAGCTGTTTTGTTTTTTTGTTTTTTACTGGTTGAAAGATCTTTAAAGGACAAATTCAACTCATTTAATGTAGTTTTCCACCTGGCAAAAGGTGCTGCAGCTCCCACGCTGTGACTGAAATGTTATTCATGTCAAAACCACATGATTTCAACCACAGCAGGTATATTTAAAAGATTATACTTCATATGATAACTGCAAAAAGAGATCATTACATAAAACCTATCTGTAAGTCATGTTATTCAGTCTAGCTTCCAAATATGAAGAAGAACATTAAACAAAGCAAACACATACAGCCTAAGCATCAGAAATAACTCTAACCCTCATTAACGTCAGGCCTGATTACAATATAAACTGCAAATGTTACTTTGACTTATTCAGTCACAAGAAACGTTTAGAAGGAAAGTTTCACGAAGACAAAACTTTGCTGTCATGATTCACTATTTTGATGACTGAATAATAATCATATTGACAATAACAGAAGCTTTTTGATGACGGTAAACTCAACATAGGATTGTGAAGGAAGCACTGATGCTACAGTGACGTCTTGGTCTACGTATTTCCCAGATGTAAGGAAATGTGATAAAAAAAATAAAAACAATCACATTGTTTTTAGATTTATTTCAGTGGAAAAGAAATGCAATAATTACAACTCCCGCTAAAATTATTACTCATATCGCCATATCTGTGAATATATATATATATATATTCACATATTTTAACAGTGCTCAGAAAAACTTTAGAAACAAAGCAAGTATTTTTTGAAAACCAAAAAATATTGATGTGGCGGATTTTTGGAGATAATTTTAAAAGTTTGGCTCATGTCACATTTGTTAGCATAAAAGGGGCGGAGCTTATGACCTATAATGCAGCAAGCCACCAGATCCCTGCTCTGATACTTTTTATTGCAAACTGGCTGTGAGCTAAAACTAAAACATTAATTCCTTTTTAAAGCAGTCAGACATATCGACTGGTGTCTGCAGGGTTGGCCTCAGTGGATCAGCAGCCTCAGCTGTGAGACAGCAGCTCAGCACTTGGAGTCAATTCAGAGGAAATGAACAGATTTAATATTCCAGCCGGCAGCTCGGAGCTCCTTCATCTCCTGCACAGCGTCCCCAGACCGACAGCAGGGTACCAGGAGCCCAAAATGGGGGGTGACAGCGATGAACAGGAGGCAGTCAAGCGAGTCCACACCTCGCTTTTATCATTTCCTTGTGTCATCTTTAAAATAATTGGTCAGAACCAATTACAGCTCAGCTATGTCTGCTCCAATGACTCTGCTGCTGCTCGTGTACAGCTCAGGCCTCCAGCTCATGTTAGTCATATACCAACACTGGACCCAGATCAGTGACAATGTGGCGACACACATCTGAGGACACACTGTGAGGACTCAGTGTCCTTATAGGGACACAGAGAAGTCCTGATGAGGTAAAGTTGGGTTAGGCTACGGTTAGTTTGATTTAATATGGTAAAGCTAGAGCAAGTTATTTTAGGGTTGGGCTAAAGAAATAAGGCAGTTAGGTAAGGAAGAACTAAGGTTAAGTAATGTACGGTTGAATTAGGATAAAGTTAAAGTCAAATTAAGGTTAGAGGAATGTTACTTCAAGGTTTGGTTAAAGCTTAAAATTAGTTAAGTGAATTTTAACCTGAGGCTAAATATGGTACGGTTAAGTTCGGGAAGGTTAATTTAATGTTAGAGGCAGGTTATTTGAAGGAATCCTGTACCAACACTGTACACAGGTTACTGAAAGTGTTGGGAGATACTTCTGTTAATACATTCACACTGTAGGAACTCAGTGTCCTTACAGGGACACAGACAAGTCTCGATAAGGTTAGGTTAGGTTAAGCTGGGCTTAGTTTGAGGTAATGGGAGGGTGAGGCAGGGTAAGATTAAATTATGGTTAGGCTAGAACAAGATTATTTTAGGGTTGGGTTACGGATCCAGTTCGGTTAGGAAGAATTAAAGTAGGTAATGTATGGTTGATTTAGAATGAAGTTAAACTAAAGTCAAGTTAAGGTGAGAGGAATGTTACTTCAAAGTTGGGTTAAAGTTTAAGATAAGTTAGGGGAACTTTATGCTAAGGCTAAGAGGCAGGTTACTTTAACGTTGGGTTGGTTTATATTGGGTCAGGGAAGGGTTAGGGAATGTTTAGGAGCAAGTTAAAGTTTTAATGGGGTATGGTGACGTTAAAGTTAGGTTAATGCTACTTAAAGATTGGCTTAAGTTTAGCTCCGGTTAGGAGAAGGTGAAGTGGTAGGGTAAGCTAGAGTAAAGTTAGTTGACTTTTAGACCTTACATTCAGTCCTCAGTTACTGAGATTCAGAGAGCTGGTTTTAGGGTTCAGGTTAGAATCGGGTTCAGGTTAGGGTCCCAACAAAGACAGATGTTCAAAGTGCTGCACTTGTGAAGACAATAACAATAATAATAACGACAGTCCACGACTGGTGGAGGGTCGTGTGTTTTCTGTGGCAGAAGCTAAATGAGGGTCATCAGCTGATAAAACCAAACCTGGGCCGGTGGCTCAGGCATATAAAAGCCTCCCTCAGTCATTCTTGCTCTTGTGCTCCAACAGGATCTCTCTCTGACAGGAGCTGGCCATTCTCCAGACACCAGCAGCATGGTTTTCTGTTTGTTCTGTTCCCTAAATGCAAATTTTGGTTTGTTCTTTTGATAAAAATCAATATATTTCAGTCACCATACAGTTTGTTACGTCCCTGGTTTGTTACAGTTGTTGAGCTGTAACACACTGTAAAACTGACTTGGTGCGATTAATTATTAATCACAGCTTCATTACTGATGACTCGCACGATTTCATCAGACTGCAGCGTGAAAGTGGTCCTGCAGAGCAGCAGTATGCTGCAGGCTGCAGTAATTAAACTCTTCTTCAGTCCTCTCACTGTGGTTCTCTCATTAATGGATTTATAATCAGCCTCACAGTCACAAAGATAGGAATTTGCAAGTCACTGATATGATCTGATGGTTCATCTCTGATCATTAAAAACTAATGATGGTCCCACCGGGCTCGCTGCAGGTTGTTTTGGTAGCCATGCTGCTTAAGTGCTGCCTTGAAATGTGTCAATTTCTCTCAAACTTCACTTTCAGCAAAATCAAACAGTCATTATTAAAGCACTGAGAAGAGCAAACACTTTGTACATATATAATTGCATTGACAGGCTCCACACAGCAGCTCAATGGTCAGTCACGTAGCATAAATCAAAAGTAAACAGTTTTTCTCTCTTTTTCAGATACTTGAAGCCCGACATACAGAAGAAATCCAAGCACAAAACAACCGTGATGAAAAAGACCCTGAACCCTGAATTTAACGAGGTGAGAACCCCCAACTGCTTCACCCCAGCCGGTCGAAGCTTTAACAACCTCCTGCTCGCTCTCTGCAGTTATTATTTCATTTAAATTTGGTCCCTTCTGGCCACTTTACCCCCAGATCTGCAGGAAAAACCTCTCAGGAATGTCTTGTGTTTCTCCCTCATACATGATAACCAGAACATGCGTCTCCTGCAACAAATTTGATTTAAGCCCTTTTGGTGATGGAAAAATATCAAGACTGGGTCTCATAGATGTCATGCATAATGACCAAAAAACGATAACCAGAACTTGACCCAAAAAATGGAAAATAAACATAATGTGACACAAAAATTTGTAATTTTGGAGACTCAAATAGCTAATAATGACCATTAACATCTTCAGCACTGTGTCTTTCTGTCTTCTGTTGCTTGTTTACATCATTTCCAACCAGAAGAAACCTGTTGGTCAAATAAAAACCCGCCACAATCAAAAGTCGGCATGGGAATGAATTCAGCACTGAGCTGTTCAGGAGGTTTCTCATGCTGGACCTTGCAGCCCTTCACGCCGTCTTGAATCTGAATCATGTTTGCTCTGCAGGAGTTTTTCTATGAGATCTCGCTATCGGAGTTGGCCAATAAGACGCTGGAGGTGACGGTGTGGGACTATGACCTGGGACGCTCCAATGACTTCATCGGTGAGATCACTCCTCCACTCTGAGCATGAAGTGAAAAGTGACGCCCTGTGGTCCACGAACGCCTCAAGGCTTTTTGGGAAAACTCTCGGATATCAGTTCTACGGCTGACAGGAAGTCAGTCTGTCAGTGTTGGTGTAGAAAGTTTTTAACAGGACCATTCTCTGCTTCAGCTGTGAGAAAACGCTGTAAATATTAATGAGTCTAACACATGCTGCTCATTAGTGCCGGCAAAGCTGCTCAGCTTGTGGAGGTTATTACTGCATATTTATCACACGAACCATCTGTATTTCTGATCTCGTTCTTTTCCTGCGCTAATTTCCGTAGTTTAGCTCTTTCTGTCATTATGTTCACGTTCTGGTTAAATATGGAAACACAGTGCTGATTGCTGGAGTTTTCAAGCAGAAAATAATCTTTTCAGATGAGCTGTCAGGACACCAATCAGCACCCAGAACATCATGAGGCATCTTTGCATTGAAGCTCTATCATTTGTTAGCAGAGTCATGTTAACAGTTACATTATCAAGCATTTTATTTGGAAGAATTAACATTTTATCTGCAATAATGAAAGGGAAAACTTTTTTCTTGTTTCCACTGTAAATTATTTTTCTGCTGGTAAATGAAAAATACTTTTCAGATGCTTTTAAATTGTTTAAAGAAACGAACTTCTAAACTTACAGCTTCACTTTTTTTTGATTATAAGTTACTACATTTGTTTGTTACAGATGTTAGTTTGGGTTCATGAGCAACTTGTCTTCAGATTTGTCCATATGAAGACAACAATGACTCCCAGGTGTCCATATAAAGATTGTATTGACTCTCAGCTGGGAAACTAAGACAACAAAAACTCCCAGGTGTCCACATAAAGACAACAAAGACTCCCAGGTGTCCATATAAAGACAACAAACAGTCCCAGGTGTCCACATGAAGACAATAAAAGTCTCAGGTGTCAACATAAAGACAATAATGACTCTCAGGTGTCCACATAAAGACACTAAAGATTCCCAGGTGTCAACGTAAAGACGAGGAAGACTCCTCAGCGTCCATAAAGACCATACTGACCACTAGGTGTCCACCAAGACAAAAATAACTCCCAGGTGTCTAAAAAGAATGTAAAGACTCACAGGTACCCATAGAGAGACAATAACAAATTCCCATGTGTCCATTTCAGGACAATCAGGGCTTACAGGTGTACACAAAGAGATAATGGACTTCCACATATCTGCATAGAAATTATGAGGGTATCCGAGGGTTCGCCTAAAAGCTCATGACTCCTAGATGTACTTAGTAGGACAACAATGGACGTCTAACTCTTCCTGTGCTTCCTGTTGTTTAGGTGGCGTCTGTCTCAGCTGCCAGTCCCAGGGCGATGCCCTCCGCCACTGGACGGACTGCCTGAAGAACAAGGGCCGCAGGGTGGAGCGGTGGCACATCCTGACCAATGAGCTGCCGCGAACCCTGAGCCATGACTAACGGTGAGCAGCAGCAGCCTCCACAAATGCAGACGTCACTGTCAGGGATCACATGGTTCACAGGGATCCTCTGGTTTCTTTAACGGATGGACGCGAGCAACTTCACCACAGGAATCACCAGTAACCGAGAGGACGAGTGTATTATATTACAATAAGAGTCATCATGATGGTTGGAGAGCAGGGTGAAGCAGGAGCAGCGTGGCGGTGTGCCTTCATTACCGATCATCTGGATTGAAGCACTGTCAGCACCACACCTGCATTTATACATACACAACAGGGTTACACATGAAGGGTAGAGCCCACCAAAGTGAAGCAGACGCAATGTAGATTTGTCATATGAAGTTAATTGCATGGGTTTTCTTCCACTTCAGCCTGGCGAAATCCTTCATTTTTGGTTTCCTACTTGCTGTTTCCACTCAATTTCCATGTTTACATAAACTTTTTGCATACAGCCAATCAAATCACTTAATTATTTTTTTAATTCTTATCAATTCACCTCAAGGTTTGTTTATTACCTGCATGTTGTGCAAGATTTACATACAATTCTAATTCAGATTGTAAGAAACATGCATGGCCATGTCTCGTGTTGTGGACTGTATAGAAAGATGGATGTAGCCACCGTGACGTCACTCATCGGTTTGCAGAGTACTGTTTTGAAGAGTACTCTGCTTGGTCATCTATTTTCCTCCAAATGGGACCATAGCTTACTAAAAGTTCATGCTGTATTAAAGAAACCAGTGATTGAGACTAGAGGTTCTGACTGAATACGTGACCACTGGCTGGAGGTCATGAAGCTCCACCAGTCTTTGTCATGGTGCCCTTTTACAAGCTAAACCCCCACAATGCTCTCTGCTTGCCAATAAGAAGTGCCTGTAGTCTAAGGCCTTGTCCACACGTAGCAGGGTTTTTGTAAAACTGAATATCGTCCCCCTTCTGACTAGAAAAAAACTTACGTACACACCACCTCGATATTAGAAAAAGAATTCATCCACACCAAACCGCATACGTGTGTTTTTAAGCACATTCATTTTCTACGTGAGGATGTGATAACGCCGATGACAGGAGCAACGACCGGGACATACGGAAACTGTCACGCCGTTCCTCCGGGAGCACGATTTCCGTCTCAAAGTTCTCCCACCAGCTGGCAGTGTGTCCCAGTCTGAGCCAAAACCGGTGTCAGTGTCTTTGATGGAGAACATGTCTTGGACGTGGAATGACAAGGTGGCGGAAAATAACCGTCCTTAACGCCGTCCTTCGCCTGTGTTCTGCCTGGACAAGAGACAACGCCAACACAGTTTTGAGGGCGTCCACGCTGTTTCTAAATGTAAACACAGGTAAAGAACATATTTAGTTGCAGGCAGTGATGTTTGGAAACCTAAAACCCCAGCTATTGATGTTCACATGCAGACATAAACGGAAGATTCACACAGATCTTCACTTTGGTCGGAGGTTTTTGAAAGAATTGTTTTCAATGTCGTAAATCTGCGTAGAAAAATATCTTAGTTTTATGAGATACCCTGCTACGTGTGGACGAGGCCTAAGTAACCGCCTCCTTTAGATTCTGCAGTATTAAACAGTAAGAGGCTCCAGGTACTACAGCTCATCTACAATACATGAAAGTGTTTTATCTCGGATAACAGTATCGGCTTATTGGCAGATGCTAAACGACTCGGATCAGGGGTACAAAACTTGATCGCAACTTGACTTGAGACAATACGCTTATTAGGAAAATATTTACCATGACAAACAGTCTCTTATTTTTATTGACTTCTATACCACCACAGGCCTCTAGCTGGTTGTTAGACAGAATAGCATCACTTTTCAGACCTGGAGGCTATGTCCATCTTTCGTATACAAGCTACGGCTGAAACTAATTTGTTGAATCTTCCTGTGGCTTTGGCACAGATCTCAATGTGCCACAGGAACTTCTGTCCTTAATCCCTGAGTAACTTCTTGACAAACTAGACTGGCCAATCCTCGGAGAAAAGTGTGACTGCAGAGAGTTGCTGTAGCTTGTTATGGCATGTGCAGTTCAACACATGTACAGAAGGAAGCTGATATCGAACCCGTTTATTACAGCCACAGTATTCGATCTAAAATTTCACAACTATCTTTATACAGATCTGATTTTATGCTGTTGCTTCAGGCAAATCAGAGATGGTCAAGAGAAATATGATGATTTGAGATGTAATGAACCTTCAGTAGTTCCTGAGATATTGTGAAACCTAATGTGCAAAAAACTAACCCAGTGGAAGTGGGTCCGAAGTGTTATTTTGGAAAGTATTTGATATATCAATGTAAGATTTCACAAATATTATTATTTTACAGTATAAACGGTTAAGACAAATCGGAGATGGTCGAGCAGAACGCCAGCGATGATTTCAGACGTAATAAACAGAGAATATGATGTCATTTTTATGGGAAATTAAAACTTTTCTAACTTCTACCGCTTCCATCCTTCCTCTCTTTATCAGCACAAAGAACAGTTTACAGAGGAGACGGTGGCAGATTTACCAAGAAAATCCAAAACAAGCTTCTCATTATCGAGCCAATGACCGTTCTACCCGTCATGCTCCATATCACACAGATCACGTCTCTATTGCACTCTTCAGTATGACTGTGAAAAAACTAAGTGCATCCCGCTGATGATGATGATGATGATGATGATGCTGATGATATCAATACAAGTGGTTCTTCCTCGTTGTTGCATGATGCAATATGTTGACTTTCTATCTCTATACTCCCCTCCTGCCTGTTTTCTAATCCAAGTGTTGAAGTGAGACATGACGAGAGAGCTGACAGCAGGTTCAGCTCCTGTTCTCCTGTTTACAGTGTTCTTGTTCCTTCTTATGCACGACTGAATGTACGGATGTGGCTTTCTATACAATATCGTTGTTTACACTGATCTCGTGCTTTACAGGTGTTCTTACATTTCTATCAGGTGTTTTATGTAAGATGCAACAATAAATTTGGAATGCAACTCAGACAGACAGCAGACTGAGTGTGGTTCTGTTCTCAGGCCGTCAGTGCTCAGTGGAGTCATGCTGCCCCCTACAGACGCAAAACACAACTGCAGCTGCACAACGCCAACGACTCCTGCTCACATCGAAATGTATTCACTCATTCGCTCGGTGCAACGTGATCGCAGAGAGACCCAAAGGGATGCAAAATGAGCACAGATAAATGCAGAACAACCACAAAAACAGACAAAAGGACCCGATAGACGCAAAATAAACACGAAGCAACTGCAGAGTCAAAACCACCTCAAAGAAACACGGAATGCAAAAATAAACCAACTACAAAAAGCCACAAAACATTGACAAAAATAAAGAAAAACATCAGGAAAAAAAAGATGCAAACCAATAAAAATGTCGTGCAAAACCAACACTAATGCACAAAAAATGCATAAAAGACAAACAAGAGGACCAGAAACTGACGCAAAATGATAAAAAGTGATGCAATATCAGCATAAATACATGTAAAAATGCAAATATAGTTCCTGTTTAAAAAAAAAAGTTCATTAGGAATTGAGAAATAAATTTCTGTCATTTTACAGATTTACCTTGTTTTGTTATATTACAAATAACTACTTAAATCACATGGAAATATTAATTAATTTATGTATTAACAGTAAAAAAAAAAAAAGTTTTTGATTATAGTGTAATACAATCGTTTTTTAACGTATTTCTTTTGGCCCTTTTGCCAGATTTTCACATATTTCTTTACAGAATCTTCTTTACAGTTTAAATATTACTTTAAAAAGCTCAGATTTCGTCCTGCAGAGCTTCACATAACCAACAAACTGTCAGAAATGTAAGTTACAGAAGCTTCAAACTGGATTATTTGTCCTTAAAGACATGTCAGCTTCAGCGTTAATATCTGGAAACAAGAGGAAGGTTCTTAAAATCAATAAATTAAGACAGAAATCCAGAATATCTGTTTTAATAGAGCTTAGTTTAGGAACATCGTCAAACAAAACCTCGAAGTGAGATTAGAACATAAAACATGATGTAATCAATAAAACCCTGATCTACATGTAGAAAGTGCTGCTGTGTTCGTAACATCCGTCTGTGATTCTACATTCTGAGCACAGAAACTATCAGTTTTACTCAACATTTATTTATTTATTTGTCTAAAAAACAAACAAACAAACAAGAAGTTTCACATCGATCCTAAATACTGATGAAGTAAATTCACACTGAATCTCCTCAAGCTGCTGAAACAGTAAATATAAGATCTGCTGGTTTCTGCTCTGAAGACGTCCAGGACAGGATCAAGACCAACACAAACAGAAAATAAATTGAGTTATTTTTGGCGCAGCAGCAGCGTTTTCTAACAGAATTATTTATCAGCAGAAATCCTCTAAGCTGCAGCGCCAGACATGAAGACACCTGTTTGACTTCAAAAACACAGACGTCTGAGCTACTGCTTTATCAGCTTCCACTCCTCACCGCCGTGTTTACCTGTAAACATCAGTGTTTACCTGTAAACATCGGGTTTTTACATACGAGTCTGGTCATGAGTTTCCAATGACTCCTATAACTGAATTGTCTATGGTGGAATCATTGAAACACATGAATCTTTGTCACAAAAGACAATCACGTATTTTAGTTCTTAGACAGGTTAAGTCATCCGGAAAACTGAAAAAAACTGCTGAGTCAGAAGTATATATGCTAGTGCTAGTACTTGGTTAAAGGGCCTTTGGCCATTTTGGGGAGACCAGTCGAAAACCTTCATTCCAGCCTGATTTAACCATTTCTTTGATAATCCTCCTTCTTCATGATTCAATTTACTTTGTGTAAAGCACCAGTTCCACTAGCAGCAGGGCACCCTCAGAGCATGATACTGCCACCACCGTGCTTGATGGTAGGTTTGGTGTTCTTGGGGTTGAAGGCCTCAACTTCTCGTCCCCGAAACATGTTTCTGCTCATTGTGGCCAAAAAGCTACATTTTGCTTTCATCTGACCACAGAACTTTCCTCCAGAAGGTCTTTTCTTGGTCCATGTGATCAGCACAAGCTTCAGTTGACCTTTAAGGTTCTACTTCTAGAAGAACTTCTGTCTTCATGCAGCCTCTCAGCTCATGTTGATGTAAAACACTGTGGACACTGACAGCTGTGTCCCAGCAGCTTCTGATTCATTGCAGATCTGCTTTTTGGGGATTCTTGGCTGACTCTTGACCATCCTGACCAACTGTCGCTCAGCAGCAGAGGACTGTACTATGAAGCAATATTAATGGGTTTCAGATATGTTGAGCCTCAAGACAGTGTCCTCAGTGTCATGAAGGCGTCTCTCTTTTAACCTGCTAGATCTCCATGGTAACTGATGCTGTGGAGCTAACCTGGTCAGGAGCAGGTTCTGTTCAGAGCTTCGGGTTTAAATCGGCTGGAAGAAGCGTCTCCTTTTAACCAGATTGCTTCCTGACTATTCTCAGTGAGCGATACAGATTCTCAGCTGAGGGAATGTGTTTCATCTTCAAACATGCTGAACTGTACATTACTAATATCACTGAACGAAGCCGTGCAGGTACAGTATGGTACACCTCATACATATACATATAACCCCACATGTATTCACAGCTGGTGATGCAGAAATCTTGAGCTTCAGCTTTTCTCATGTTGACTTACACAAAGAAAGCCCGGCTATGTCAAACTTGCTTTGTAGTTTAACCCTCAGGTGACAGTTTGTGTTTTCTTCCTGATCGTGGCAGTGACACGACTGTACCATTCACTTTATACTGACAAACAGTTGTTTACACAGATGACTTTGAAATCTGTAGCTGCTCTGAAATATCTCCAGGGGACTTTCTTGACTTGTTCAAAACAATGATTCGCTGTTTCAGATCTCTGCTGAGCTCCTCAGACTTCCCCACTCTAGTGTTTGTGGCTCAACCTAATGAGTGGATCAAATGGGTTCTATTTAAACTGAACCTAAGAACATCTGATTAACAAAACTTTCTACATCATCAGAACTGATAATTCGAGTTGCTGAATGTGCATTTTTGACCCAGCAGATCGTCATATTTCCAGCAGATCTATAATAAATCTATGAAACAACAAAGATTCATGTGTTTCAATGATTTCATCGTAGAAAATAAAGTTATAGGAGTCGTTGGAAACTCAAGACTGCTATGATATACATGAGTGTGTAAACTTTAGTTCACAACAGTATGTTAACAAACTGGAACATTTGTCAATACAAAATGCACACAGACCACAAACACTGTCATAACATTCTGATTGCACCTCAGATCTGTACTTCTGACAACATGGTTCCTGCATCTTTGTCCTTTTCCAGATTCTTTACTACAGTCTCCTGCTGAGATTTAAAAAATAAAACAAAAAAAAAGGTACTTCTGTGTGTAGAAACACTGACCTGCCTGATGATGGAGGGTTTCCTCGATAAACTGGCAGCTCAGAGAAACGTGATGATATTTAAGCTGCAGCTGAAGGACAAACAGAGGAAACCTTGACCTGCATCAATGATATGAAAGCAAAAAAACTGAAATGGCAGGAAGAGTCAGTTGCTCTGTTCTGGATCAAACTGTCTGCAGACCAAAAATAAATAGAGAAATAAATACGATGTCTGTGTAGCTGCCTGTAAAACCCAACGCGTCCCGTCTGGACAAACTCAAAGTGCTTTGAAGACGCTCAGCAGGAAGAGATTCAGGTTCTTCATCCGCTGCAGCACAAACCAGCGACTTTAAACACGTCAAACTGCAGCGTTACAACACGTGACCATGACAACTACAGTTTTAAACCTTCATAAGTTCATTTCATCAAACAAATTCTTTACCTACAATACTTCTAGTAGACTACTTTTTACTCTGAATCTTGGTGCTGATGTCCGGAAGAAACTGCATCGACGTGGAAATCAAACGTGTTTAAATCTCGCTGGTTTGTGTTGTCGCATTAAAGTTTCTGCGGTGTCACGCTTACATCCTCTGCTCTGATTGGTCGGTTCTTCTCTGACTGGTCGGCATGTTTTCTGACGTTTCCGGCGGATTTGTTTCCACAAATTCTTTGTTTTTGAGACTTAAAAACTGTGAAAACGCGCTGCAGAGAGGCGGGAAGACGGACGTCATGACAACCAGCTTCTCCAGCTGGAATCCTGGATTCCGATTGGCCGTCGCTGCACTGCGTCAGAGGATATTTGAGCTCTTCTTTGTGGAGCTGCATCATATTCGTACAAATCTGCAGGTATGAACCAACCAATCAGGCGCTGGCCACGAAGCACATGTCCTTCTTCAGGTGGATCTGCAGGCCGCTGGTGCTGCTGAACGTCTTGTTGCACTGAGCGCAGCGGTACGGCTTCTCGCCGGAGTGCGTACGTTTGTGCTTCTTCATGGTGTCGCCGTCGCTGAAGGTGCGGCAGCAGAACGGACAGCTGTACGGACGCTCGCCTGTGTGGATGCGCAGGTGTCGTCGCAGGTTTCCTCGCTGGCTGAAGCTCTTGGAGCAGAAGGTGCAGCGATGCGGCCGCTCGCCAGTGTGCGTCCGCAAGTGGCGCCGCAGGTCGGCTGACTGCGCGAAGGACTTGCAGCACCAGTCGCAGGCGTACGTCTTCCTCTTCTGCTCCAGGTGGAGGCGCAGCGAGGCGGCCTGACCGAACGCTTCGCCACAGCGTGGGCAGCGGTGGACGAGTTCAGGGATGTAGGCGGCAGCCGTGACGTCATCAGTCGCCTCCTGAGAAGACTTTCTGCTGTGCTGAGCTTCCTGTCGCTCTGGATGCACCGATGCTACCGTCCGGTCTGCGTCCGCCCGGATCCTGAAATCCTCCACGTGGGTGCTCGCTGTCCGACAGTCCGACTCGCTCACCTTGAACTCCTGAGGTTCAGCTTTGATCCGAGGCTCCTCCCTTAGAACAGGAGTGTCCACAACGGTGGGAAGCTTGATGACCGAGTGTGACTGCAGCACTGGAGGAGGGTCGGCCTTCAGAACTGGTTCCCAGGGCTCTACCGGGTTCTGGTCCCTCGGCAGGAGAACAGGTCCTGGGGGGGCATCGCTGTGCACCGGCAGCAGCTGCTCAGGTAGCAGCTGCTCAGGTGTAGGTTTGGCGACGCTGACCGGGGGCTGTCTGGGCTGGTTCAGGGTGGAGTCCGGCTCCTCGGGGCGGCGTCGCTCCGGATCATCGGGCTGCTGCTCCGGAACCACAAAACCAAGACTGGCCCGGGTTGACCCTGAAGCAGAGAACAACCTGACGGTCAGTACAGACGACATCTGACCCGCTGCAGTCAGATGAAGAGCTGGAGACAATAATTTAAAGACGTGCTGCAAAAACATCAGCAAATGTGGAAAAATATCAAGTTTTCAGGTGAACTGCAGGCAGTGTGTCCACAGATCAGAGAGCACAGAAACTAATGAAAATGTAAATAATTAAGTAACTATACGTGGAGGCATTTTTTCCAGTGTTGATTACACCTGTGGACGCTTGGAGAAAAGTCTGAACATGTTTAGTTTAAGATATTTCCATTGTTTTTAAAATAAATAATTAAAGATTTTTTCCGTCTGTTTGAATGTATGCGTCTCTCTAACTGGGTCAAAGTGGCAGCAGACAGTTCTGAGCTCTCTCCTCCTTCATGGTTGTTCTGTTTCCACTGAGGTTCAGGACTTTATGTTGCAGTGAAAATGAGCCACAAATTAGATGCAAGTGAAACAAACAAACAAAAAAACCCAGAAACTGCTGCTTGGAGTTCAGAGGGTTAAAAAGTCTCCACTTCATTTTCATCAGGGGCCTAATAGTTGTTGATCTGAAGACTTGACAGATTAAAATCAAACAGGCTGATGTTTCTCCACCTCTTTGTCAAACACTGAGTCTGTTTTTATTTTTCTGTATTTCAGTGCAATTTAACAAAACAGAAATCATGTAAATGTGTATGAAACGTCTCTTTAATGAGACCTCGACTTGACCCACAGTCTGAGTTTCTGAAAGTTACTTCCCCTCAGAATTTAACCGCATGCAAACCGCGTCACGCCAAACCCCATCCGACAATCTGCCAATTTAACCTTTAGTTGTGTAATGCACACAGGTAACCTTTAAAACCGGTGTATATTTCAAGACATTTAATGACAACAAACTTTCAAGGTGAATTCGGCGCATGTGTCGCTGCGATTGAAAACAACAAACAAACAAAACACCACCTGCCTTTTTCCATGACAAACCTGCTCTCACAACATCAGGCGAAGCTAGCTTGATGGAAACGATGAAGTAAACGCGAAAAATGATAACAGTCTCGTCTTTTTTAACATTTCAACAAAACAGCTTCGTTTAAATGATGCCGAATGTAAGGCAGATGATTAACGACCCGTCGAGACTTTAAAACCCGTAATTTATCCGGTATTTGAGGTTAAAACCTTCAGTACGGTCAAACCGCGCCGATGTGTCAGCGCAGGTCGGAACGGCGCTCTCTGCCGGCTAGCTCGGCCCTTACTCAGCCACTCGGTCTCGGCCTCCAGCAGCAGGATGTCCCGCAGCTGCCTCCGCAGGCTCTCGTTCTCCCGCCGGGTCCTGGCGGTCTCCTCCCGGTACTCGGTGACGGTGTCCTCCACCACGTCCAGGATCTCCTTCACCACCGCGGTCAGCCGCTCCGTCAGGTAGGAGTTGAGCAGCTGCAGCTTGGTCATGATGGACGGACTCAAACAGCTGCGGAGACCGAGGACAGGACGAGACCAAGCCGCAGACAGGACGAGCAGCGGAAACGGTTCCTCTGCTCCTTCACAATAACAGCATCAACTCAGAGATGAGAAACAACCTTTAGGGAACATTTCAGGAATAGTTTCTGCAACAGACTCTTCCAGAAATCTGAAAATCAGTTTGAGGAGTACAAAGAGACACAACACAATGTCAAAGAGAAAAAAAACAGCTGGAAGATATTGCAAAATGTTCTCAAAAAAACAAAAAAGTTCACCGTAACACAAAAAAAAATTCACAAATTGACGCAAAATATCCATAAGGAGACAAAACACGTAGAAGTTGGTGCAGAACATTCAAAAAGAGACAAAATGTTTACACAATAAATTTACAAAAAGACATAAAACAACTACAAGTAGACACAAGACGCAAACATTAGCAAAGCAACCACGCCTTAACACAAAACATTCACAAAGAGATGTACAAATTTCACAAGTGAATAAGAAAGTTTATAAAAAAAAAAGATTCACGACAAGCCACCACATCCACAAGGAGAAAAGAAAAAACTAAAAGATAATGCAAAATGTTCACTGAGACACAAAGCTTTCACAACAACACAAAAAACATTCATGAAGAGACACAAAATATTCACGCAAAACATCTATTAGGAGACGTAAAACAACTTGGAATTAAATGTTCCCAAACAGATGTAAAACATTAACAAAGAGAAAATTTACGAGGACGCACAAAAATGTACTCATGGAAAGAAATTCATGAAGAACAAACACAATGAGATGTAACACAAAAAATACACAGACACAAAAAGACCACACAAAAAAAAGCACAAAATACCTACAAATAGATGCAAAACAACCTCAAATAGACAAACAAAAGCACACAAAGACTTATGAAGACCACAGAGGGACAAAAAAAAGCACCATAAACTAACACAATTACAAAGAAACACAACTACAAAGGGATGCACACACAAGGTCCTCTGTGGTCTTTTAGAGATGTTACTATAGAACGACACACAACGTAAACACAACATCACTGTGACTAACGCGACTGCTTCGGTTTGGACTCTTATTCTGACAGGTGACTCAGGATGTGGATCTGTGATGTCACATTGCTCTTGACAGTGTTTGAACACCTGGGACAGGTTTTAATGCAGCTCTGCAGTTCCTCACTGTGGCCTCTAGGCGGCAGTAAACACACAAAAACACACAACACTGTCAGGTACACACTGAATACAGCCTCTATAGACCGTCCATGGTGTCAGCACACATTACCACACTGACACTTCCTGTAGACCTCCAAAATGAAACTAAAACAACTAACACTTCCTGTGTAGACCTTAAAACGGCAACTGACAGAATTGGTTT